GAGATAAGTATAATTAAGCATAATAAGCGCAATTAAGACATAATTAAGCAATGTTTAAACCAATCAAGCAATGTTTAAACAAGAAGGTGTTTTCATCAAAACAAATTAGTGTTTTCACATACTTTCCCCCTGTTTTGATGTAAAGAACCTTCAGTTTCTCTTGCGCTTTGAAGATCCGGCAACTTCACTGATGCCCTTCATGTTCCCACACAGTTCTTTGATGCGTCTTAAATTTTCACGTCTTTCTTCTGATTGAGCATCATTTGAGAAGTGGTCAACAACTGTACCTATAAATTCTGTTCCATCCAGTCCTGAGCTGGATAGAAGTTGTGCTGAGTTTTCCGGATTTCTTTGCTGTGCTTCAAGGATTAGATTTGTCAAGTTCAGATGAGAAGGAATATAAGATACTTCTCCTTCTTTGATTGCAATAGGAAGCTGTGGTATTGGAGATGGACTGTGTTGTTGGAGAATTACTTCCATCTTGCGGTTTCCAGAGTTTGCACCAATAAGTCTGAACAGCTTGAATGCTTCCTTTTGATTGTCAATGATCACCTTCAAGTAGTCTTTGGTCACTACCTGATTTGCAGAAGCTATTGCTAGGGCTGATCTGATGTCCATTTGGAGAAGGGACATCTGCTTTTGGAGACTAACTGTGACACTCGCTATTTGCTCTCTGACTTTGTTGATCTCTTTGAGATGAAGTTGACTGTCAGAGGCATATATTTCCATCGTGTTGCTCACAGTTTCACTCAATATATTTCTGTGTTTTCCTTCAGACTTCTCTATTAGCTGGGTGTGCTTGACTTCCATTTGTTCTATCTCTTGCCTAAAGGAGGCATGTTGAGATGCTAGGGCTGATTCAATCAGCCCTTGGACCTTCTTTGTCCAGATTTCCGGTATCTCATCCGGAAGAGCAGGGGTGGAAGAGCTATGGAAATGAACGTTGGTTACCTGATGAGATGATGGTGTTCTTTGGAAGAGTTGCATAGGAAGAGATTCAGCATCTTCTTGGACATCTTCTTCATCAGTAACCTTCAGCGTTCTTTCAGATTCTCCTTCTGTTTCAAGCGCAAAATTTGATATATCCCTAGAGAGGGAGTCTCTTTCTTCAGCTGTATTCTCTTCTTCAAAGATGGCTACTTGAGTTTCAGAGACCTCTAGTTCTGCCATTTGATCTTCCTTTGCAGCTTCTCCAGAATCCCTCTGTGCTTCAACAGCTTGCTCCATTGTTTCTGGAAGAGCTGACTGTTCCGGAATTTCAGCTGACTTTTCCGGGATCTCAATTTCAGTAGGATTGGAGATCTCACAAGGAGTGGTGAGAATCTCCAAGACTTGAGATTGGATTCGTGGCTGAAATTCTTCTTCTTCTGCTGCTATTTCCTGGTTCTGTTCTTGTGGGGGAGGGGTTGCCTTCTCTTGAACAACTTCAGTTAGAACCATTTCAGAAACATGTGAAGTTTCCTGAAGTGTGGGTGAGGTTTCCGTTTCGAGGGCAGGTGAGGTTTCCGGAAATGTTTGGAGATCCTCAGTTGTTGCTTCAGAAGTGAGAGCCACTTGATCTTCTGTAGCTTTTGAGAAGACTGGCTTGAAGACTGCAGTGTCTTCATCATCTGCTTCACAGTCTGAAACTGGTGTTTTGGCCAGGTATTCCAGATGCAAGTCTTCAGGGTTCCTTTGCCATACCCAGTAGTCATCCAAAATCTGTTCACAGTTGTGGTTGACTGGTATT